TGAATTCTTTACCATTTATTTCAAAGTAAACATGCATAGGATTCTGCCGTGAAGATTTGCATCCATGCCTCCCCAGCCCAACTCCCGTGCATTCATTATTAACCCGAGGGCTTCTCTGGCAAACCTAGAAAGAGATCTGATTACAGCAGTAAGCCAGAGAGGGACTTCTCAAAGTATACATTTTGTTCTTTTCCCTTCCCAGCAAACGTGAAGCCGATTTGCCTAACCAGCTTTTCAAGAAATGCTCAGGGCCCAGTTAATGCCTGCATAATGTGCTCCTTCGGCCAACTCCAAGGGTGTGTCTACAGGGCATGGAAAAAATGGCACTTCGTTTCTGCAAACTGCTTTTGAATTAAGTCCATCCGTGGCATGGAAGTGGAGAAGGGAGAATTCTCAAGCTGGCAGTGGGGAAATTCAGGTGCCGCCAAGGCTTTAAGGCCTGCTGGGCAGAATACTTCTTGCATTAGAGCTTCGATATTGCTTCGGGCCTGCACCCTGCTTCCTCCTCCTTTTAGAAAAGCTCACCTAGGATATTTACTGCACCATTGCATCCAAGCTAAACTCGGTTGCTGAGGAAACCGAGTCGCCCCCCCCCAACTTTCTCCAGAGGTCACAGCGTACACAAGTCCTTCAGAATCCCTTGGTAACCATCGGCCAGCATGGTTGGGGAACATCCATGGTGTAACACAGTCTTTCCATCGCTAAGGCGCTGCGGCCTGTGTCGGAGACGGGAGTGGGGGGAGCAGAGTCTAGTTACATTCCTGACCCACTTTCCCATCCCCTCCCTTTTCCTCCTCCCCTGAGGGAGCAGCCAGTAGGAGCCTCCGCTTACAAGAAGCAGCACACCTTCAGCTACCAGGCAGCGCAGGGTGTCTGCCTGCCAACTGACTCCTGTCTGCGCACAGTTTCTTGCTCAGCTATGACTCAACTCAAAACATGCTTTCTCAGAAAGACAAGTAAGACGGAGAGACACCTGCAACGGAAAAGCCATTGTTGCAAACTTTAGGCAGGGGGACTGGGTTGATCGGTTCTACCCGAGCAGATTGCAGGGATGCGGAGAGGTCGCTATTCGATCCACCCGGGTTTCTCATTCCCAGTTCTTCAGCAACGGAATCGACACAAAGGCTTCTCCCTGCACACCCTTTCATCAAAGCGACAGCCACCCCAAAGTTGAAACGCTATGATACCACTTTAAATAGTCGTAGCCTCCCCCGAAGAATCCTGGGAGATGTAGTTTGTTAAGGCTCCTGACAGCTGATAGGAGAACCCCCCTACTTCCCCCTGAAAAGCTACAGTTCCCAAAATGATTCCTGCAGCTCAGCATCCCATCAGACATGTAGTTTGGCTTGCTCTGCGCTGGAAAGCTGGCCTGTTGATATGGTAAACATCGCGAACCAAGCATTGTGTGTTAAGTGCAAAAATGTCTCATTTTCAGACTTTTTGGGTGATCGTTCAGTCTTTTAAGTTTATTTTAAATGCGGCCACACACAAAAAAAACCTCCCAAAGTGATTTATAACCAAAGTGAACCATACCGAGGCAAAATCCCATTATTAAATGAAAAGAGATTCAGCACGACAATATACTCGGTGTTGCCCAGACATCTGGCAAAATGAAAGCGACCTTGCTTGGTGACGGAACAATGAAAATATTGGTGCCTCTCTGGGGGCAAGATTCCCTTGATAAGGGGCCACCACTAAGAAGGCCTGTTCTCTTGTCACCACCCCCTGGACCTCCCTTGGCAGTAGGGTCTCAGATTATGCTCTCAGGGTCTGGGCAGTTCATAGGGGAAAGGCGGTCCTTTAAGTATAGGGATCCTCAGCTGTATAAGGCTTTAAAGGGCAAAATGAGCCCTTTTGCCACCCCCACCCCCAGGAAAACCCACTTTTTACCTCTGAATCAGAGCAAACGTCCATCAGGTTTTGTGCAGATTGATGTTTGCCCTGATTCAGCACTAAAGAGCAGGATTTGCTGGGGAAAGCGGCAGGGCAAACAGAGAACTACTCAGTCCTGTGTCCAGAGAGCACAACCAGAAAACAGCTTGGACCCACACTTTCTAGGGGAAGTGGGGACGAGCCCAAACTGGCAGTCAGTGCAATCAGTCCCAAACCAGTATTATCTGCCCATGACGTTTTGTTCCAGTTAAGCTTTCCTCAGAGGGAAGTGTCTCAAGCCTCTCGATTGTGTCGGTTGTCCTTTTCTGCTCCTTTCCCCAATGTCTTTTTTGAGGGGCAAATGACCAGTAACCCGTGCATGGTATTCTAAGGGTGGTCGCACCACCCTAGATGAGCATAAATGCACTATAATACTGGCAGTTTGATTTTCAACCCCTTTCTCAACGATCCCTAACATATCAGCCAACCCCAGCCTTGAGATCAAAGGAGACCCTTCTCATTGTTCCATCTGCCTGTGTGGCTCGCTGTGCGGTCACACAAGAGAGGACCTTATGATTGTGAAACTCCCTCTCCCTGGAGGCGCTGGAGGCCTCTTTGCTGGGCTTCCCACATCCTGTTAAGACATCTGTTCACTCGGGCTTTGGGTAGAGGTGATTAGACTGCTCAAGTTCTATCGATAAATGAGTGACTTTCACGCCTGCTACTGTGTTCTGCTTTCTGCATTTTGTTTGGATTGTTCTAATACATTTGGATACTGGTTCCTCCCCCCCCCCAAAAAAATCTGTTTTGCAAACAGCCATAGTATCTAGAGGATGCCACACATTGGGTCAACATTTTCAATGACGCCAAGGTTATATAATCATAGAATTGTAGAGTTGCAAGGGAACCTGAAGGGCCTGAGTTAAAAGGTAAAGGACCCTGGATGGTTAAGTCCAGTCCAAGGCAACTATGGGGCTGCAGAGCTCATCTCAATTTTCAGGCCAAAGGAGCTGGTGTTTGTCCACAGACAGCTTTCCGGCTCATGTGGCCAGCGTGACTAAACCGCTTCTGGCGCAACGGGACACTGTGATGGAAACCAGAGCACACAGAAACGCTGTTTACCTTCCCATTGCAGCGGTACCTATTTATCTACTTGCACTGGGGTGCTTTCAAACTGCTAGGTTGGCAGGATCTGGGACAGAACAATGGGAGCTAACCCCGTTGTGGGGATTTGAACCACCGACCTTCCAACTGGCAAGCCCAAGAGGCTCAGTGGTTTAGACCAGTGTCACCCGCGTCCCATAACCCGCATCTAGTCCAACCCCGTTCAATGCAGGAATCTCAGCTAAAGCATCCATGACAGATGACCATCCAACCTCTGCTTAAAAACCTCCAAGGAAGGAGAACCCGAAACATCCCAAGGGAGATGGTTCCACTGTCAAACTGTCAGAAAGTTCTTCCTGATGTTTAGTCAGAATCTCCTTTCTCCTACCCTCCAGAGCAGGAGAAAACAAGCTTGCTCCATCTCCCATGCGACAGCCCTTAAGATATTTGAAGATGGCTAACATATCTCCTCTTACTAGGTCTCTTTTCTAGTCAGTCATCACCAGTTCAGTCCCCATTTTATGTGGATTTTTTTTTGCCCCAGCATTCATCCAGTTTGGAGACATCCTTTTGGAATTCCCCACAATCCTTTTGGCCTTACATAAGAAGAACCAAAGGCCCATTTATTCCAGCATGTTGCTCTCACAGTGACAAACCAGACACATACAGTGGTACCTCGGATTACATACGCTTCAGGTTACAGACCCCGCTAACCCAGAAATAGTACCTTGGGTTAAGAACTTTGCTTCAGGATGAGAACAGAAATCATGCAGTGGCAGCAGGAGGCCCCATTAGCTAAAGTGGTGCTTCAGGTTAAGAACAGTTTCAGGTTAAGAACGGACCTCCGGAACGGATTAAGTACTTAACCCGAGGTACCACTGTACATAAAACCCGCAAGGAGGACTTGAGATAAACTACATGCTCCCCAACTTGTTATTTCCAGCAACTAGTCACCCTAAACAATTTGATGTCATCAGCAAACTTGGCCATCTCATTGCCCACCCCTAACTCTATGTAATTTATGAAGAAGAAGCCCTGGCTTGGTGAAATAAACAGTCCGCTTATATGTGTATATGCGGTTGTTTCAGAATAGGCAATTAAAACTATTTTCATGTACATTAATTTAGGGAAATGGAATTACGGGATCCGTTATACACTTAGGAAGCAATCCTATACATGTCTACTCAGGTAAATCCCATTGGCTTTATTGCACTAATTCCCAGGTAAGTGGGTGCAGGACTGAAGTCTTGTTTACCTCCCTTGCTACTGGTTAAACAGAGCTGTTTCCTTTACACTTTTTGCAAATGTTTGGGGATTTTTACATTGCCAGCAAGCTGTATAGAAATTCGGAGAAGTTGCATTAAAACTAAACTATATGCCAGTTCCTGCATTGAGAGGGGCGTTGGTCTAATAAATCCAAATACTCTCCCATATTTTGGGGGGGGGGAATCTACTCATGAAGCAATAGGGGGAATTGACTGATCCCTCAAATTCAACGTTTTGAGATTTGACATAATTCCTAGTTTCATACCTCTTCTTGTGTTGGATACAGAAAAGTAAATAGTTACCCTCCAGGATCAAAAATAATCTTGTTCCACATCAAACATTAAGCTTGGGGTTGCCACCTTGAACAGCAACAGAGCACAACGGACATTTTGCTGGGGAGATGTCACCAAGAATCTCCATCTCTGCAAGCGTTTTTAGATCCACAAGGGAGAGTCTAATAATTCCCCAAGCGAGTTTCAGGGCATGCTAGTCATTTTGCTCCCGTTTATTTTCAGCGCACGCAAATGCAATACCGTTCTCCCGCAATTCCTTCTGCGGAAGGCGAGTCTGCAAAACGCGTTTTTAAGTGGAGAGCAAAGATGCTGCACGTTGCTGCATTTCGAAACCAAAAGGTGCCTAGAAATCGCGCGCTTTGGGCCGTAAAGTCTCATTGCTAGCCGAGGGCGGGGTGGGGTGGGGAGTCTCAAGAGACGAGGGAAACGCATTCAAGAGGCACTTGGAAATTTATAAACCGCGCTGAGCCGCAAATCAAAACTCGGGAAGGACACGACAGAAATGGTTTTATCAAAAGTCTGCAATCGGCTACTTTTTGTTTAGTTTTCTTTAATGCTGGTGGGGTTTCTGGACCACTGACAGAATTTCCGCTTGTGAAGCTTTTCCTAAGGTGGGGTTGTGAATAGCAGCAGTTGAATTTCTGCCTGTTATTCGGGCGTTAGGAGGATCCAGAAACCAAGATCATGGTCAGGAGGGGTGGGGGGTGGAAGGTGCACCCCCTCCCCAGTCTGTGTTGCGATGGGGAGGGGCCCAGAGGCGGCTGATTCTCCTACTTGCCAAAGCGTCGACTTCCAACCCCGTGTGATCCCCACCTGCAAAAACAGAAACTATTGAGATCTGTCCTGCAAGACAATTACGCAGAGCGAGGTAAACCCGCCGCTGAAACCAACGGGCTGCACGGGTTCAAGGCTATAAACTGCTGGGAACCCAACCCTGAACGTGCCATTAAAAAAGACGGTGGGGTTTGCTTCGGAATAAGCAAACCAGAAACGAAGCCAGCCGACTCCCGATCCGAGGACGGGAACTGCAAAGCCAGCAGCGCTTTAATCTGGATTTAAGGCTGCGATCCCGAAAACAGGAAAATAGGCAACCCGGTTGGAGCGCAGCAGGACTTGCCGCCCAATAAAGACGCGCGGGGTTGCGCCCTAAAGTCTCGATAATATACGGGCCTTACTTCCTAGGAAATTAGGTTGCTGCTTCTCCGGCTCGTGCAGAGGGCTCGGATCGCGCCCTCTTCTTCTCCCCCCCTCCTTTCGGCTGGGCGGCTGCGCGCTGCGCTCCTCCACCCCCTTGGAGAGCCACGTGTCCCTGCCTGGTCTTTATTGTGCTCGGGCTCCTCGCCCGCCTCCTCGCTCCATGAAGCGCGCCCAGAGCTCCAGCTTTGCACACACGCACGCGTGCACGAAGAGACAACCGAGCAAAGGCGCCGCTGCTTGTGGTTCCTCCTGCAAGCCGGATTAAGGCTGCTGATCTGATACTCAGCAGCGCCCCACGGGACCCGCTTCTTGGTCGGCCGGGGGACAGAGGTTGGGTGGCAGCGGCGCTTCAAGCCCGGCTGCTGCTGCAAGGCGCCCGGCTAAGTCTGCTGCGGAGGCGCAGGCAGGAGCTGCTGCTGCAGGGAATCCGGTTTCCGGCTCGCCACCGGAGGAGGAGCAGCAGCAACGCTGCCCAGCCCGGGGTAAGGAGCAGCGCGCGCATTTTTCCGCGTTTCTCATGTCTCGAGGGAAGGGCGATGCGATGGCAGCCTAATGCAAAGCTCCCGACTCTCTCCAACCTCTCTCCCCCCCCCCCGACGCAGTAAGTCAACAGGTGCGGTTTTGCAATCCGCTTCCCCTGTTGAACTTTTTTTCCTGCTAAAGATTGGAGGCGGGGGGCGGTTCGTGTTGTAACGCAGAGGCGGTAAGGTGTGCTGAGGTTTAATTCTATTTCTGTGCCGCCCGCCCTTCAGTCTTTGAAGCCCGTTATCATCTCTGCCAGAGAGGTCCGAGCTGCAGTTTTTTCAATTAGTAACAGATACTTCTTTATAAACTGTGCGATTACCTGTTCCTGCTGTCATGCCTGGAAAGCTGGGCATCCTGTTCTAGAATGTTTTAATTTTGTGGTGCGTCTCCCCCTGTGCCCACGCATTCATACACACTATAACACTTCAAGGGCTTGAGCATGTAGATTTTCTCTGTTTTCTCTGTGTTCTCCCTCTTCAGCCCCACAGTAAGACCCACAAACATTCCATATATCAAACTGTTCTCAATTGTAGAGTTGGAAAGGACAACGAGGGTCATCTAGTCCAACTGCTTGCAATGCAGGAATCTTTTGCCCAACGTGGGGCTCGAACCTACAACCCTAAGATTAGGAGTCTCATGCTCTACAAACTGAGCTACTGTATACTGACTTCCATAGTTTGCGTAGCTACTGGTTTCTTTAGACCCTCGCTTTCTTTCTCTTGTAGGCTCAGCTGTCATCAACTTTCTGTCAGCTCGCAAGTTCCTGTTAAGCGCTTTCTGGGTTGTGGTTTTTAAAAAAATAAAAAATAATTTAAATTAACTCACAGCAACGGTATATACCTAGGGTTCCCCCCGGGCGTGTAGAAGCGGCTAGTTTTCTTTTAGGTGGTCCGATGCTTCTTCCAAATTGATTGGCACTCAACCACCTGAGTGTGCTATTAGAAGGAATGATGTTGCTTTAACTGTGGCCTGTCATGTTTCCACATAAAAGTATGGTGTATTTACAGCAATGAAGACAGGAACTTGGTGGAGGTTTCTCATGTACTAACTCTTAACGTGGGCTTGAATGGGCCTTGTTCATCACCAGAGGGGAATGCCACAAGGTGCCACAAAAGTGGAGGGAACTGATGCTGAGAATATTTATTTTATTATATTATTGAATTTCTATCTTGCCCTTCCTCCTGAAGGAGCCCAGGTCTTAGTATAAAAGCTGATCACTTGAGCCCAGGTGACAGTTTCCGCACTCTGCCACGGAAGGGATTTGTGGCCTTAGCCAAGTCGTTCAGTATATTTCCAGACTATTGTTCTTTCACATTTAGCTGCTACATTGGAGGGCAACCTCTGGCTTTGGGGGCAGGGGACACATAGCCCCTCAGTCTGCTCTTACATGGTGACCCTTGGAATCTGACCCTCAAGTGTCTCTCTTTCTTCATTCTTGTATCCTCACTGAAAGAGTGTCAGATCTATACTTATATCTAGTATGAGAAATTGGTACCGTGGTACCTCAGGTTGCAGACGCTTCAGGTTACAGACTCCGCTAACCCAGAAATAGTACCTCTGGTTAAGAACTTTGCTTCAGGATGAGAACAGAAATTGCACAGCGGTAGTGCAGCGGCAGCGGGAGGCCCCATTAGCTAAAGTGGTACCTCAGGTTAAGAAAAGTTTCAGGTTAAGAACGGACCTCCAGAACAAATTAAGTTCGTAACCTGAGGTACCACTGTATTGGCCTCTACCATCATGCAGCCCCTGACAAATGGATTAAGCCCTTAGGCTGCGTTTGAAATTCGCCAGGCACATTTTGCACCTGGCTATCGGCCGCTTGTGACCAAGTGAAGATGCCCAGGTGCCAGGATAACTCCTGACATCTCCACCATCTGGAGGTGCATTCTTGGGGATCTTCAGATCTCGACTGTTTTCACACACTAATACTACATCCTGTAGAATTCTATCTTATATTTTATCTGCACAATCAAGAATGAATTTCAGGAAACACAAAAGGCGTACTGTATTGAAAAACACGACTTTCAGGCTGTCTGCCCCCCCCCCCCCCCCCAGTGGCAACTAGGCAGCATTCCATTTTTGGCAACTGTGTCCCTGTTTGAAGGAGCCATTTGGCACCTAGCTTATACAGTGGTACCTCGGGTTAAGAACTTAATTCGTTCCGGAGGTCTGTTCTTAACCTGAAACTGTTCTTAACCTGAGGTACCACTTTAGCTAATGGGGCCTCCTGCTGCCGCCGCGCGATTTCTGTTCTCATCCTGAAGCAAAGTTCTTAACCTGAGGTACTATTTCTGGGTTAGCGGAGTCTGTAACCTGAAGCGTCTGTAACCTGAAGCATATGTAACCTGAGGTACCACTGTATATCTGAGTTTCTAACACTGCCCATAGGAAATATGGCCTTTGAGAGAGAGAGGAAATGGCCCACTCCTGATGCAGAGGGCATTGGGCATAGCAGGAGTCCTTGACTTGGCAGAATGTGTGTCTATGCTTGTTTCTGGGAAGCTTTGCTTCCAGGGAGTGGTGCTGAATTTCTCTTTCTGGTAGTGAGAGATTCCTAGAAGCAGGACCAATGTCCAACCCATTTTTCAGGATCATTTTGATTAGAATAGCAGCAAGGGCAAGACTCATGTGTGCTTAGAAGTGTATAAACAGTGCATGAGCTAGTGTATGGGTAGGCAAACTAAGGCCCGGGGGCCAGATCCGGCCCAATCGCCTTCTAAATCCGGCCCGTGGATGGTCCAGGAATCAGCGTGTCTTTACATGAGTAGAATGTGTCCTTTTATTTAAAATGCATCTCTGGGTTGTTTGTGGGGCATAGGAATTCATTCATATATTTTTTTCAAAATATAGTCCAGCCCCCCCCACAAGGTCTGAGGGACAGTGGACCGGCCCCCTGCTGAAAAAGTTTGCTGACCCCTGGGTTGGACATTGACTAGGAAAGCACAGGCTTAATTCTCTGCTCAATCTCAAAGCTCGCTGGGTGACTTTGGACCGGCCACTATTTCTCAGGCAAACAAAGTTATTATATTATCCTTATTTGTAAACTAATTTATGTTGCCCGGATTTCCTTGGATGGATGGATGATGGGATACAAGTGAAATATAGAAATATTGCCGTTACGTCTTTAAAATCCAAATTGTTGTCTTAAACTAAATATCAGCTAAAAGCCCCCTGGCTTTCCCCCATGGTGGTTGCAAAGAAAAACTTGATAACTGTAGTATCCAAATATTTGGGCAAGCAAAAAGCAAAACCCAAATGCACCATGTCAGCAAAGAACGTTATTTTTAAGCTGATCTCATGACTTGTGACATCAGGTTACACAGATCTGTCAGGCTTCTGTCAGCCTCTGCTGATAAGAAGGAATTTCTTCGATAGAGAAACTGCAGCTGGAATTTGAAGGGAGGGAAGGAAGCATAATTCTGAGCATATTTGCAGAGAATTAAGGATCAGGCTGTGTGGACAGAGTCTCTCATGTGAAACTTAAAATCCGCTTTATTTTAAACCACTCTACAGTGAGAATGTGTAAGCCTGCTTTGACTACAGTATACAATTGAATTCTGTTCCACATTTAATCCTGAATGAATGAATAGCATTTTACATATGGCGTGATTAGTGTGAAAGAAACGTAGACCGCATATTCTCTCTCCCACCTACTTTGGAGTAAGCCCCACTGAACTCATTGGGACTTGCTTCTGAGTAGGATAGGAGTGCAACTGTTACAGATATTTGTGCCTTGATTGCCTTAAGCGTAGATGGCCTGATCTGCTATTTATTGTTGGTTATTTTAATCTGTCACCAGAAGGTACCGAGCCATGGATGGAGATCTTCTGAGAAACTGGAAAATGGAGGAGTCTTCCATCTTCATGTTCTACCAGCCTCTGGAGAGATACCAGGCAAAGGTGGCGCAGCTTCACTTCTCTGCTAGGACTGTGTAAACTTCTGTGCCTTCCTAAGCTATTACCTTCTCCTCGTGTTTCATTGCTGCTGTTATGGTTGCCTTTTTATGCACGCTTACTTGGTAGTAAGTTCCTTTGGACACAGTGGCACGTATTTTTTGGGTAAACTTGCATAAGTTGGAGCTGCGTGATAACCAATAATAATACCCTCTCGACGGTACCATAATCTGCAGTCCCAAGTCGCAGGGCATCTAGAGAGGCGTTTTCGGTGCCTGCTCCGACACTATCAAACTCCATACCTTGGGAGACTTGCCTCAGGTTGGACCACGTGTAAAGCACTTCTGAAAAATTAGAGCTGGTGAGTGGAGCACCACCATGTGGAAAGAGATCTTCCGTGATTCTGAACACGCATTGAAAATACGAACGGACCAATACAGTTTTAGGCATGTTTGTTTCGGCAAGCCTATGTGGCCTATGTAAAATGTTGATACGTGTTTCAGTCTGATATTTAGGCAATTGTTGGTTTTAATTATTGTTTTAAAATAATTGCTTTTAATGACAATACTATTTTTTAAAACTATTTTTGTAGGGTTATTGCACTAAATAATAATAAATGAATGGATTTTAATAACGAACTAAACAAAAGAATAACAAATTGTGGACCAAGGAGTAGTCTGCAGTGTGATTTTAGTCATATCTATATATTATTATTCTTAGAAGAATGATTATTCTTCAGAGCTGAGCAGGCCCAGAGTACGTTCACCCAGGAGTTGGATTCCTGGATCCTAACAGCAGTCCATTTCACTCTCCGTACATCATTCACCTAGCAATGGTTAGAGTTTCGGTATAAGCTCTGAACCATCACAGCCCCGTTTCCAGAATGAAAATGGGTTATTCATGCAAATTGCATTTTAACTGCTGGCTTTAAATGTGTTGTGATGTATCTTTACTATCTTCTTTTTAACTATTTGTGTTTTACAAGTTGAGATGGGCTATAGATATATTGGCGTTTCCGTGTGCTGCTCTGGTGCCGGTTCGCCGGAGCAGCTTCGTCACTCTGGCCACGTGACCCGGAAGTGTCTGCGGACAGCGCTGACTCCCGGCCTCTAGAGTGAGATGAGCGCACAACCCTAGAGTCTGTCAAGACTGGCCCGTATGGGTAGGGGTACCTTTACCTTTACCTTTTATAGATATATTAAATAATAGTCACCTTCTGTGTTCGAGGAACGGATAGCTATATTGTGGCAGTTCATAATGTGGTGAATCTGCAGGATAAGGGAAAGAGCTGTTTACTGGATAGTCAGTGCCAAGCAGGACCGGCCCACCCATGAGGCAGTGTGGGCAATGGATCCGGTCTCCAAAGAGTCCCGCAGCCATGGTGACAACAATGGCTGTGGCGCGCTGCTTGAAGTCCTGATCTGCCTCTACAGCGGCCTTGTTCCTGATGTAGATCTTCACTCACCCATTCTTCCCCAGTTGTGGGAGGAACCGTTTTGTGGCTTGCCTCGGGTACCAAAATGTCTTGGGCTGGCCTTGATGGTGAAGATCTCAAGGTGTTCATAGATTATGTTTGCATACCAGGAAGTTCTCCAGTGTTGAGTCTTCCTGCATCTCCGACTCTTAATAGCAGAAGGCACCCCAAGCAAACGCACTACCAACTATCAGGACGTAAAATAAAATTGCAGTCCCACCCCGAAGTGGTTCATCAGCCAGAGACTAGGTAATCAGTGGGCCACCGGCAATGCTTTCCTTGAGATGATGGGCGTCCCCAGTCATCAGTGATATCTGGCGGATTGCAGATACATATTCTGTATTTCAGAGGCTTGGCCACCTGTCTCTCTTGTAGATTTATATAGATTAGAAATGGGCTCCATATACTTAGAGAACAAGAAATCTGTTAAATCAGGTAACAGAAACTTTTAACTAATGGCATATCGTTTTCATGGCAGCTTTTATCCAGAAATTTTAGAATCTGATTGCTGGGTCTTTGCCTGCCACTAATTTTGCAATAAACAAAAAACACTTCAGAATATGCAACACAAACAAATTATTGAACTACTATAAATGTGTGGAAGCTGCGGTTGTAAAACATAAATTGTATGTTACAATGCCTACTCAGATATGTAGAAAGTTGGCCTGTGTTTTGATCAGGCTGTTAGCTTATTGTTGATTTTTTTATGTTTTAAATAGCTATTTTTAACTGTTACTGATTATTTATTTATTTTTATACTTGAGCTACTCTGAGCTTTTAAAAAACAATTGAGTGGTATATGAACTTTTCCAAAATAAATAACATGTTATTTTTGTTTTTGAACTGTAAGAGATTTAAGGCTGCATTCCTAAACTCCCTTGCTTAAAAGTGTTATTTGTTGAAATGGGTGGGATTTATTTTGATGAAACATACGTGCGATGGGTGTTGTTGTCAAATGTATGCCCATCCCTGCGGTCACACTCCTATATCTTAGGGTAGTAACTGAAAGAATTGCATCACCAAAGAAATGGAGCGTATGTACTAGTTAAGAGCTGGTAAAATCGTCCTAAGAGTTTTGTGAATGCCTCTCCTAGAACACACTGTAGGATACCCCAGAGTGAGGAGGGAGAATACGGAATGATTCTGTAACCCGACCTTAATAGCCAGTTGGTGGTCTAGTAACCATATACAGTTGTACCTTGGAAGTCAAACGGAATCCGTTCCGGAAGTCTGTTCAACTTTCAAAGCGTTTGGAAACCAAAGCGCTGCTTCTGATTGGCTGCAGGAAGCTCCTGCAGCCAATCAGAAGCCCCGTCGGACATTCGGCTTCCAAAAATAGTTCGCAAATCGGAACAGTCACTTCCGGGTTTGCTGCGTTCGGGAGCAGAAACAGAAAACTCTACAGGTTTTATTTTGTAAAAGGCTTTAAGTTCTATCAATAAAAGATGATATTTATAAATGGCCTGAAGTTTTCTAGACACTATTAAGAAAGTAACACAATCCCTGCTCACAGGCCACAATCTAAGACCCCATCTGCATTAAACATTTAAAACAGTATCTTAATATTTTAACCAGGGATGGCTTTCCCCCAAAGATTCCTGGGAGCTATAGTTTAAGGGCTCTGAGAGTTGTTAGGAGACCCCTATTCCCCTCTGAGCTACAATTCCTAGAGTTCCCTGAGAAGAAGGATTGGCTGTTAAATCAGCCTGGGAATTGTAGTGAAGGGGAATAGGGATCTCCTGACAGCTTTCAGGATCCTTAACAAATCGTAGCTCCCAGGATTCTTTTGGGGGGAAGCCATTGCTGGTTAAAACATGATACTGCTTTAAATGTATAGTTAGTGCAGATGAGGCCTAACAGACACAATACAAAAGGAAAATCGTGTTTGGGGGGGAATAAGCATATGCAGGAACAAGTAAATGATTCATGACCAATTGGGAAGACTGGCAAAGGGGAGATATCTGGGAAAGGAAGTTGTTCTAGTTGGTGGAGTGGGCTGTGCTGTTTCTCCTCATCCTCTTCTGTCCACTTCTGAATTAGTCTCAGGAGCACAGCTGCCAGTCATTGGAGGGGAAAGTACTACACATTAATCATAAACTCAGATGCAGGAAAAAAAGAGTGGAGGAAAACAACGAAGTTCCACCACACTTGGAAGTCAAGGTATCTCCAACAAACAGAATGCTCTCTGCTGATTCTGCTGTTACTGGTTGATCAGCAGAAAGTCCAGCAGCATCTTGTCTTCCTTACCCCATCAAGTTGCAAAGAAGCTGCTTGGAGCATGGTGTTCTTTACACCAGAAGGAAGTGGGAAACTCTGAGCAGAGAACCAGGAATAGGCTTTAAAGTAAACGAGTGGGAACAGACTGTCATTGAGTAAATGGCAACCAGTGCATGTTAGAATTTGCTGTTTGCAGTTTGCATCACCCTGCTAAGGATAAGAAGGGTTATATTGTACATCAGCTGATGTGTGCTGACTTAATATTAGGATTAGTTAGTCTGTTTAATTATAAGAATTGGTTGGCTTCTGTGTATTGATCTCAGTATAATAATGTGTCACACTTTCTGCCTGGTATCTTTTGACCTTAATAAGGTACCTTCTCTCGGTGTCTCTGTCTGTCTGTCTGTCTGTCTGTCTCTCTCTCTCTGTGTGTGTACACTTTACATTATTTAAGTGCCAAAATTATCTTTGGCCCACAAAAGCCTATTTCAGTCTGTTACTCCTTTTAAAGTGCTATGGGACTTCATTGTTTTGCTGCAACTTAACAATACGGCTGCCTCACTGGAGAATGTACCTTTGTGCGAAAAGGGAATTGCCTGCTAATTTGTGCACAATTGCTAACTTTGAATACCTTTCCGCCCCTTGTGGAATTGGAAATGGTGAGTTTGATAGCACTAGGTTAGCGCCGTGGCTATACAGATTCACCTTCCCCTACCTGGTGGCTTCCAGTTGATGTTGGACTCTCAGCTCCCACCAACCCCAACCAGAACGGCAAATTATCAGGGAAGGTACAAAATCCAAAGAAAGCTTTTTCTCTTTGCTTCTGGGCAAAAGCTCTTAGCGTCTCCCTCGCCAGCTGAAATTTCACACACGCCTCTTACTCCCCCACAGTTAATGTAATTAATGTTCCTTGGCATGAACATTAATGTTCCCCCAGCATGTTCCACCCCAACCTGACAAGAGGAGGGAATTCTTCCACAAAGCCTGAAGCAATCAGTGAGAATTGCTCTGCAGGTCAGGGATAAGGATCTTGCTCCTGCAGGAGCTTTTGCAAAGTCTTGTATTCATGCTCTCCTAACAAGGTACAGTGGTGCCTCGCAAGACGAAATTAATTCGTTCCGCGAGTTTTTTCGTCTAGTGAATTTTTCGTCTTGCGAAGCACGAAATCCCATAGGAATGCATTGAAATTCAATTAATGCGTTCCTATGCTCAAAAAAAGTCCAAACAAAGCCAACAAGAGTTTATTAAGTGCTCTTTAAAGTCACACATACTGTAAAGAGCATTTCAAAAATTGAAGGAACAATAAATTAAGTTTCTAAACATGACAGAAAAACATTTAAAAATCAACAAAGTGTACAGTACATTTTCTAAGACTCTGGGGGACAACTCGAAGAAGGTTCCTCTTCCACTCTTTGCTTCTTGCTGAAGAACCTGTCCATGGTCTGCTGCTTCATCCACCTTTTCAGCACCTCCCTCAAAGGCGACATGACCCTCGTATCAAAAGTGTTCGCAAGGTCATGTGCCACGTGCTTGTCAGGGTGGTGCCGCTGTGCAAAAGCCTGCACATCCTTCCACTTCAGGCAAATGTCCCTCAGTTCTTTGGAGGACAGCCGTTCCTCAGTTGCTTCCTCCTCTTCCAGCAAGGCCTGCTCCTGCGCAGCCTCTGCCTGCAGCTCGACCAGCTCCTGGGTGGTCAGTTCGTGGTCGTGCTCCACAGTCCGGCCACAGGCTGCGCCAAGCGCAATTCAAATTTCTCTGGCTGATCCCGTTCCAGGCCGTGGTGATCATCTTCAAGCAGGTGACGATGTCGAAGTGGTCCTTCCAGAATTCCCGCAGGGTGATGGTGGTGCAATCAGTCACCTCGAAGCATCGCCTGAAAAGCTCCTTGGTGTAGTTTTTTGAAATTGGCGATGACCTACTGATCCATCGGCTGGAGCAGTGGCGTGGTGTTAGGCGGCAGGAACATGATGCTGATGAAGCTGAACTCCTCCAACAAGTCCTCCTCAAGGCCTTTAGGATGAGCAGGAGCATTGTCCATCAGAAGCAAAGCCTTCAGCGGCAGGTCATTGTCCAGCAGGTACTGTTTGACAGCAGGGCCAAAAGCAAGATTGACCCAGTCCACAAACAGCACACGTGTGACCCAAGCCTTACTGTTGGATCGCCACATGACACTCAGCTGCTCCTTGTCGACCTTGTGTTTCTTGAAGGCCCGTGGGTTCTCCGAGTGGTACACCAGCAGGGGCTTGATCTTCAGGTCGCCGCTTGCGTTGGCACAGAAGAGCAGGGTCAGACGGTCCTTCATGGGCTTGTGGCCAGGCGACTTGGCCTCCTCCTGTGTGATGTCCTTTTGGGCATCCTCTTCCAAAACAGCCCGGTCTCGTCGCAGTTGAAGACCTGCTGTGGAACGTAGCCCTCCGTCTTCACAACCTCCAGGAACTCCGCTGCAAAGTCTTCAGCCGCAGAAACATCAGAACTGGCAGCCTCTCCATGCCTGACCACGCTGTGGATTCCAGATCTTGTCTTGAACCGGTCAAACCAGCCTCTGCTTGCCTTGAAGACTTCTGGCTCGCCTGAGGTTCCTGGCTGTTCCCGGACGAGGTCTGCATGCAAGGCCTTGGCCTTCTCACAAATGACGGCCTCAGTCACTGTGTCCCCTGCACGCTGCTTCTCTTCTAACCAGATGAGCAGCAACTTCTCCATCTCCTCCAGAACAGCTGGGCGGTTCTTCACGATCCTGGTGACTCCCTTGGCTGCATCAGTCGCAAGGATCTTCTCCCTCATCTTCAGGATGGTCCCGATGGTCGATGGATTCCTCCCGTACTCCCTGGCGAGGTCTGTCACACGCATTCCACCGTCGTGCTTCCGGATGATCTCCTTCTTCATTTCCAGCGTAACCTTCTCCTTCTTCCCCTCGCTGGCCTCTGCAGCAGCAGTCTTCTTGGGTCCCATGGCAGCACAGTTCCTACCTGCGCAAACCCCCCAAAAAATAAATCAGTGCTTCACATCCAAAAAATTCAAAAGCACCCAGCCACCCACCACACAGAAATTCAAACCCAGAACCAAGTCCTTGAATTCCAAACACCCCAACCCAAAATCTAAAAACCCCCAAAAAAGTTTTAAAAGTTTAACTTACCAAATGGCTGCAAAAGAAGTTTTGGAAAAGCTTCAAAAATCACCAAAGTCTTCAAAAACCTCAAAAAAGGCTACCACACCGCGTGCTATGAGTTGCTCCTCGAAGTCAAGTCGCAACTGCACCTCTTCAAGCAATGCACCCTGGGTATTAACGGTTTTACGAAAAAGGAAACAAGCTTGCAAGACGTTTTCGTCTTGCGAAGCAAGCCCATAGGGAAATTCGTCTTGCGAAGCACCTCAAAAAACGCAAAACCCTTTCGTCTAGCGAGTTTTTCGTCTTGTGAGGCATTCGTCTTGCGGGGCACCACTGTACCAAGAAGAAGCCCAGTCTGCTCATAGGAACTTCGAGATGATAGGTTTTCTGCTATCTCTTTGTGGCTGGGGAAAATGAAGGTGGTGGAGGGACATGTTGGTTGTTTTTGTTTTTTAAATCCTGGGGCTGCATAAAGTCTAATCTGTTGTATATTGATGCATTTAAAATTGCATGTGCTCCACATTTATTGGAATGTTTAAATTCTTCCTTCACCTGGAGAGGCACAGGAGGTGAACATCTGTATCTGGAAAGTATCAAGCAATTCCCACCTGCCCCCCAAAAGAAAGTCTAGCCCATGGATGCAGCCTGCTGCAGCTTAAGGCAGAAACACCAGTGGGGCTGCCTAGTGCTAATCAGTAAATCTAAATTAGTGATTTGCTCTTGAGCTAAGCAATGACGCGGTTGGCGCTGTGGGTTAAACCACAGAGCCTAGGACTTGCCGATCAGAAGGTTGGTGGTTCGAATCCCCGCGACAGGGTCAGCTCCCGTTGCTCGATCCCTGCTCCTGCCAACCTAGCAGTTCGAAAGCACGTCAAAATGCAAGTAGATAAATAGGTACCGCTCCGGCGGGAAGGTAAACGGCGTTTCCGTGCGCTGCTCTGGTTCGCCAGAAGTGGCTTAGTCATACTGGCCACATGACCCAGAAAAACTGTCTGTGGACAAACATTACCCTGAAACTACGTCGGCTCCCTCGGCCAGTAAAGCGAGATGAGCGCCGCAACCCCAGAGTCGGTCACGACTGGACCTAATGGTCAGGGGTACCTTTACCTTTAAGCAATGAGATATTTCTTTT